CCTTTGCACAGACCTGCATGTGTCCTGTCACTGGAAACACCAGCCCATGGGCCCACACCCCCTTCCAGAGGGACCCAGAGAAGCCAGGCCACAGACCGGGCAGGTGTGCACTGCCTCTGGCCGTCTGCAGCCCCCGGTGCCCGCCGCTAGGCCGTTTATCCCCTGAGCCCCTCCCACCCCCGGGGTCGCGGCCGCACCTGCTCTGACCCTGAGCCTGCCCCATCCTGCCCCGTCCTGCCCCGTCCTGCCCCGGAGGACAGTGAAGCTCTGCCAGGTGCACTGGTTAATAATGCAGATTTTTCCCAACAGATGGGGCTACACATACGTTGATTTATATGCAATTTGATGTGTCTGCTATTTGTATTGACAACAGCTTCAAATGTCGAATTTTCTGAAGGTGTTAACATCATAGATATTTTTACGCTTAAAAATGTCGAATTTCGTGTCCAAAAAAAGAGCATTTGCGGGAAATTTTAATTCATTACTTCATTTTGAAGAAACGTGCTGCTGAATGCTTCGGAAAGCTTATGGTGAACGTGCTCCATCTCAAGATACGTGTGGACGCTGGTTTAAACGCTTTAAAAGTGATGATTTTGATGTGAAAGACAAAGAACGTCCAGGTCAACCGAAAACGTTTGAAGACCAACAATGACAAGCATTATTGGGTGAAGATGCGTGTCAGACTCAGAAACAGCCTGCAGGAAGATGAAACGTTGCTCAGCAAACCATTCCCGATCGCCTACAAGCAACGGGAAGGATTGTAAAGGAAGGAAGATGGGTGCCACTCAACTGAACGAAAGACAAATGGAAAACCGAAAAGTCATCAGTAAACTGTTGCTTCGATGGCATGAAAGTCTTTTTTGCATCGAATTGTGACTGGCGATGAAAAGTGGATTTATGTTGAGAATCCCAAACGCACAAAATCACGGGTTGATCCAGGTCGACCATCAACATCGACTGCGAGGCCAAATCGCTTCGGAAAGAAGACAGTGCTCTGCGTTTGGTGGGATCAGGAAGGTGTGGTGGATTATGAGCTTCTCAAACCAGGTGAAACGGTTAATCCTGATCGCTACCGACAACAAATAATCAATGTGAACCACGCTGTGATTGTGAAACCACCAGAATGGGCCAGAGGACACGGCAAAGTAATTCACACACTCCAAAACCAGTTACAGACACGTGAAAAGGTCTGGCCTGGGAAGTATGAACCCACCCCTGTGTTCACCAGACCTTGTGCCTTCAGATGACCACTCATTCCGATCAAGGGCACATGCACTTTCTGAGCAGCACTTCCAAACGTGCGAAGACGTGGACAATTGGGCCTCTGAATGGTCTGCCTCAAAGCAAGAAAAGTTCTATTGGGACGGTCTCCACAAATCACCTGAAAGATGGGGAAATTGTAGCTAGCGATGGACATCACTTTGAATAAAGCATTTTTGATGTTTCTCTTGAAATGATCATGTTTTCTTTGATTACAAAATCCGAATTTTTAACCGGTTAATAGTTAATCCGCATTATTAAACTGGTTAATAGTTAATCTGTATCATTAACCGGTTGATAATTATCTGCATTATTAACCAGTTGATGGTTAATCCACATTATCAACCGGTTGATCATTAGTTCGAATTATTAACTGATAATTAATCTGCATTATTAACCGATTGATATTAATCCACATTATTAACCGGTTAATAGTCAATCCGCATTTTTAACCGGTTAATGATTCAGATTTTGTAATCAAAGAAAACGCGATAATTTCAAGAGAAACATCAAAAGTGCTTTATTCAAAGTGATGTCCATCGCTAGCACCACATTTCCCCACCTTTCAGGTGATTTGTGGAGACCGTCCCAATGGAACTTTCTTGTTTTGAGGCAGACCATTCAGAGGCCCAGTTTCCCACGTCTTTGTACATTTTGAAGTGCGGGCAGCGGCACCTGCGGGAGCGGGTGGGCGGGCTGGGCAGGGATGGGGCCTGCGCGGGCATCGCCATGGTGAGCCGCGCCCCACCTCCCAGCGCGAGCCTCGGGGAGCCCGGCTGCGTCCCGAGGGCCACGGCATGAGTGGAGCGCCGGGGAGCAGGACCAAACCTGGGCCCCCCCGGGGGAGGGCGGTGTCCCCGCCAGGAGGCCATGGGCCCAGCGAGGGCGCGAAAACCCACAGAACCGGTCTCTGCCCACAGGACCCCGGAGACCTCGGGCAGCGCGTACGAGGGCCGGCGTGCCCGTGTCCCGTGGAGCTGAAGCCCCGTGAGCAGGACCGTGTCTGCCCCGTGGGTGAGGCTGCCGGTGGATCCCACTCAGGGCACGGCCTGCGCTGTGGCTCCATCACGGGGCGGGGCGAGCAGGAGGCAGCCGAGGGCTGTTGGATGTTTCACTCTCACATCGATGTTTTTCTCTCTCTCCTCTCTCTCTCTCTCTCTTTAAAAAGATAAAAAGAAGGACTGTGTTTAGCCTGGAGCTTGTCCAGGAGCCTGCCCGTCAGACCTGGACACGGGGAGGGTGGTTGGGAGAGCCGGTGTCCTGGTCCCTCCTGGGACTCCCGGGTGGGGGTGGAGGGCAGGGTTTCAGGGCTGTGGCTTGTCTCTCAGGGTGAGAGGCCACCAGGGACCACCTGCACAACAGGGAGAGACCAAGTGTGACCCTGTGCTCCACAGGCTTGAGTGTCAGCCTGCATGTGTGACACACGTGACCAGTGAGCTGGTGGCCAGTTGTGCTTGTGCCCGGCTCCCCTGCACCCTCCCTGCTCACGACCCCTGCGTCCTGCACACGACCCCTGCCCCCTGCACACGACCCCCTGCCCCCTGCACACGACCCCTGCCCCCTGCACACGACCCCCTGCCCCCTGCACACGACCCCTGCCCCCTGCACACGACCCCCTGCCCCCTGCACACGACCCCCTGCGTCCTGCACACGACCCCTGCCCCCTGCACACGACCCCCTGCCCCCTGCACACGACCCCTGCCCCCTGCACATGACCCCTGCCTCTTGCACACGAGCCCCTGCCCCCTGCTCACCACCCCTGACCCCTGCACACGACCCCCTGCCCCCTGCACACGACCCCTGCCTCCTGCACACGACCCCTGCCCCCTGCACACGACCCCTGCCCTCCTGCACACGACCCCTGCCCCCTGCACACGACCCCCGGCCCCCTGCTCACGACCCCTGCCCCCTGCACACGACCCCTGCCTCCTGCACACGACCCCCTGCGTCCTGCACACGACCCCTGCCCCCTGCACATGACCCCTGCCTCCTGCACACGACCCCTGACCCCTGCACACGACCCCCTGCCCCCTGCACACGACCCCTGCCTCCTGCACACGACCCCTGCCCCCTGCACACGACCCCTGCCCTCCTGCACACGACCCCTGCCCCCTGCACACGACCCCCTGCCCCCTGCTCACGACCCCTGCCCCCTGCACACGACCCCCTGCGTCCTGCACACGACCCCCTGCCTCCTGCACACGACCCCTGCCCCCTGCACAGGACCCCTGCCCCCTGCACACGACCCCTGCCCCCTGCACATGACCCCTGCCTCCTGCACACGACCCCCTGCCTCCTGCACACGACCCCCTGCCTCTTGCACACGACCCCTGCCCCCTGCACACGACCCCTGCCCCCTGCACATGACCCCTGCCTCCTGCACACGACCCCCTGCGTCCTGCACACGACCCCCTGCCTCCTGCACACGACCCCTGCCCCCTGCACACGACCCCTGCCCCCTGCACACGACCCCTGCCCCCTGCACATGACCCCTGCCTCCTGCACACGACCCCCTGCCTCCTGCACACGACCCCTGCCCCCTGCACACGACCCCTGCCCCCTGCACATGACCCCTGCCTCCTGCACACGACCCCCTGCCTCTTGCACACGACCCCCGCCTCCTGCACACGACCCCCTGCCTCCAGAGCCTCCCCTCAGCCCTGCCTGCAGTGGGCTGGTTTGGGATGTGGTCTGGGCAGCAGCTCAGTCCCTGCTGTGTCCAGGCCTGGCCCAGGCCATTACCTTGCAGTCACATGTAGATAAATGCTTGTTGAATGTGTGAGATGCTCATGTGACCACATGTGCAACCTCACATGCCTGGCCCTGCCCGTGAGAGGGCGAGGCTCCGTGTATGTGGCTGACGTGTGTGCATGGCTGACTAGTGTGTGTGCGTGCTGACTGGGTGCAGTGTCACTGTCATGTGGTCCGTGGTCGCAGGCACCACCCCTCCCAGGGGTCTGTGGCTCCGGGTGTTCCCAGTAAAACGCCTGTTCCCGTCTGTCATCGCTGGGCCTGGGAAATGTTGTGTTCTGGCCGCCACAAGGCCCATCTTCTCCGGGGTCCCCACCCCCCAGAGGCTCAGCTGGGTGCAGCAGAAGTCCAGGGCTTCGGGGTGAGGGGTGAGCAGGCTGAGCCAGAACCTGCCGGGCCCCCCTTGGCCACGCCAACCTGGTGGCGCAGGGTTCCTGGGGCTGAGAGCGAACCCGGGGGGAGGGGCTGGCAGGGCTTGACGCCGTTACCGGCCAGGCCCGGGAGGGGCTGCTGGGGGCTGTGGTGTGTGAACTGTTGAACACACGTCAGCAACTCTGCTTCTGTGCCCCCATGACCCTCGGTTCCTGGGGTACAGGGGTTCTGCACACCCCAGCCAGGCTTCCCGCAGGATCGTGGGGCCCTGACTTCTTAAGGGTGCAATCCAGTATGACGATGGCTGAAGATGGGGGGCTCTGGACCAGGCCAGGCCTCCCCCGTCCCAGGTGCTCTGGGTGCTCCCACCTCCCTAGGGGAGCCTCAGGGTCCTTGGGGGCGGCCAAGTCCCAAACTGCCCAGCCCCTCCGCAGCCTGAGGAGACGGGAGGTGGACTCCGAGGCTGGGCCCACCTGCCCAGGGGCTGCTGGGAGTTGGATCCAGTGGGGTGTCCTCTGGATTGAGGCTCTCTGGGGAGCGGTGGACCGTGGGCTTCTCTGGAGGGGGGGTCAGTGGTACAGGGAGGAGGGTGCACAGGCAAGGACCCCTTTCCAAACGTGGATACAAAATAATTTATTTAAAAACGTTCAGTTCAGGAAGGTCGGATGGACCCCACGGGAGGGGCCGGCCCTGCCCGGGGAAGGAGCCGGGTGGGTGTGAAATGTGAACGTAAGGGCGGGGCACCCCTCCCTGCTCAGCAAGGGGCTGCCCCTGTGGGCGATTCACAGTGCATACAGGGGGGCCCTGCCAGGCGGTCTGCCTGGGCCTCGGTCTCCACAACTGCATCCTGGGAGTTAGGGGTGTTCTCTGGGGCTCATAGGAGCCTATTATTCGTGGAGGCTTCGGGGAGCCATCAGGACCCAGCCCCAGAGTGAGGTCAGGTGAGCCAAGTGGGGTCCTCAGAGATGCTGGGGCTCTTGTGGGGTCCTGGGACAGATTCCCAACAGCCACTGCACCCCAACTCCCGCTGTGGGCGGGGACCCAGCATGGAGCGTGGACAACCTAGTCATCGGCCAGGGGCCCGAGAGGGAAGGTGGCTGGGTAGGTGACGGTGGCTGGTGCGGCACTGGTGGGCGGCCGGGTCAGGCAGTGCAGACTCCCGGTCCTGAGCGCGCACTGCACAGGCCAGAGCACCACGCAGAAGAGCGCCAGCAGCAGGGCCGTGATGAGCGCCAGGCGCTTCCAGTCCCCGCAGCGGGCCCAGCAGCGGGCGAGGCGGCCCCGGCGGCGGCCGGTGGGGCTGGGGCTGGGGATGGGCACCGCGGGCTCAGCGGGCTTGCTCAGGCCCACGTCCACGCACACAAAGCCGGGCGTCGCCAGGCCAGGCGCAGAGGGTGGGAGGCAGCAGCACAGCTTGGTGCCCTCCAGCCACACGGGCTCCTCCCGCCGCAGGTGCGCCGGCATCTTGGCCTGCAGCTGGCGGCTGGTGCGCAGTGCGGGGGCCCCGTCGGCGGGCACGGTGGTGGGCTGCCGGCAGAACGGGCAGGGCACAGCCTCACTGCCGGGCCGGCCAGCTGGCTGGGCAGCCGCCAGCCGTGCCAGGCACTCCAAGCAGAAGACATGGGTGCAGGACAGCTCCTTGGGCGTCTTGAAGATGTTGTCGTAGCCCGAGAAGCAGATGGAGCACTCCAGCGGGGAGGCCACCTTCTCCGAGCCGGGGGTCCCAGGGGACCTGAGGCCGCTGACCGAGCCGGGGGACCTGGGGTTGCTGACTGAGCCGGGGGACCTGGGGTTGCTGACCGAGCCGGGGGACCTGGGGTCGCTGACTGAGCCGAGGGACCTGGGGTCGCTGACCGAGCCGGGGGACCTGGGGTCGCTGACCGAGCTGGGGGATCTGGGGTTGCTGACCGAGCCGGGGGACCTGAGGCCGCTGACCGAGCTGGGGGATCTGGGGTCGCTGACCGAGCCGGGGGACCTGAGGCCGCTGACCGAGCTGGGGGATCTGGGAACGGGGGCCGTGGGGCTGCTCAGGCTGGGGGGCGGCATGGCCGTGTGCCACACCTGCTGGCGTGATGACATGGCTCTGGGCTGTGGGACAAACAGAGATGACTGTGAGTGACCTCAGGCTGCCCCTTCCTGCCTGTCCCTCTCTCCTTTGCACCTGACCCAAAGGTCCCAGGAAGGACACTGCCCACCTGCGGGTGCCACCTGCACCCTGTCCTACCCCCTCCAGCACCTCGTGCTGAGGCTGGGCAGCGTCTGTGTGCTGGGCCCGGGCAGCCGGATGGGTCTGTGGACGGACGCCATGTGCACAGGTGTCGTGCTGACTGCCAGGGGGACGCCTCCGGCTGGCCCTGCCCTGGCGGTGCCCCCGGCAGAGGTGCAGGTGACCATCAATGGGCCACAACAGTTACTATTCCCATGGCGGGGCCAGGCCATGAGACATCACGGCCATGAGTCGAAAAGGCAGCTTGGAGGGTGGGAGACTCAGCCAGGTCACCCGCCAGCCGGCCTGGGCTCTGGGTCAGGGGAAGTGGGTTTGAACATGGATCCCAGTGTAGGCACCTGGCTGGGTGCCCGGCCTGGCTGGGGAGGTCAGGACTGGGTCTGGGGCTGAGCCAGGAGGGTCTAGGGGAGACGGAGAGGCCTGAGTAGGGCGGAGGCTGGTGGTCTGAAGAAGGTTTGTGTCCCAGCCGTGCCCCGAACCTGAAGGGGCAGCCTGTCTGCTGGTGGCAAGGGCCTGAGTCAGCCCTCGGCCCAGAGGGGAGGGGGATACACGAGCCTCTGTCCTGCGCCCGGCACACAGCTGCCCCCTCCTGGCCCATCCGGCTCCCATGGGGACCCTGTCTCCGTCTCCTTGGCCGGGCTCAGGTGACCAGCCTGCTGACCAGGGCTCTGCCCAGCGCTGCCCCTGCCCCTCCACTGGGCCTAGGCCTCCACCACCGGCAGCCACCTGGTGGGCAGAGGAGGCCAGGGCCTTTGGGAAGACCCTGGCCCTGGCCCCGTGGAGCTCAGGAGGCCCCCCGAGGCGGCCCCGACCCTGACTTGCTGGTCAGCCCGGGGGATGACTCCAGGATGACAGGCCATGGAAGCTCCCCATCGCTGCCCCATGACTGAAGGCCTGAGTCGCGGTGACATCATGGTGATGTCACGAGTGCCCCCACATCCCAACATGGGATGTCACCGTTGCCTGGGGCAGGATGGCTGCGGGTCAGGCCGCGACCGTGGCCAGGTCTGGGGGACTGGCTGTCCTCCCCCGGCCGGTGTGCCCACATAACCGGTTCCTTGGCACTGAGGCCCCACCCTGAGGAGCTGCCCCACCCTGAGCCGGTCCAGGTGAGAGGTGAGAGCCGGCTGAGCGGGCCTTACCTGGCGGCCGGGGGTCAGCGGGGCCGGGGCATGGTGCTCCTGGCCGGCCGGGGCCAGGCTCCGAGACTCCTCGCTCTCCACCACTGCTCTCCTCCGGGCCAGGCCAGCCTGTGCTCCACGGGCAGGTGTGCCTCCTGGGCTGGTCGCCAGCTGTCTCGGTGGCCCTGGCTGGCAGGTGCGCCTCTGCGTGTTCCTGGCAGGTGGAGGGCAGGGGTTGCGTGTCTCCCAGGTGTGCGTGCTGAGACAGGTGTGAGTCCTCTGGCTGGGTCCCGGCAGGTGTATTTATGGACTCAGGTCATGCTGGCCGGGGGCGTGGCCTCGGCCTCAGGATTGGCTGGCCTCCCGTCCTCTCCCTGGCAAGCTGGGAGCAGAGGGTGGGGTGGAGCGGAGGTCAGTGAGGCCTCCACAGCCTGGGCAGGTCTGGGGTGGCGCCTGGAGCAGCCGCTGAGCTCCTGGGGCCTCCCAGCCCCCCACTCTGCACCTCAGCCCAGGTCCTCACACCCTGTGATCTCACTGATGTCCCCTCCACAGCCCTCGCTCCTGCCCCCCCACCTCATGTACACGACCCGCTGACATGTGTGTCCATACGTGTCACCCCATGTTCACACGCATGGCTCTCCAGACCTGGGATTCTGCTGCCCCTGGTCCCGCCCCACAGCCTCTGGGTCCAGGGACTGGGTGAAAGGTCAGGGCTGGGAGCACCCCCAAGGAGCAGGGTCAAAGGAAAGGATGCCTCAGGAACCAGGAGGGTCACAGGACTCGTTTGGGGTGACCGCTGGGGGCACCCTGGGTCACACGCAAGGGACCCTGGAGCCCAAGGAAGCCCTCGACCCCCGGGGGGGCTGGAAATCTTCCCGGGGGTGGGAGCGGTTTCAGCCGGTCAGCGTGGGTCCTGCAGACCTCGGGGCCGGGGGGGCCTGGGGCCGGGCTGAGGGGCCGGGGTTTACCCAGTGGCACAGACTGCACCCCTCACCCACCCAGTGCCCGGACATCCCCACACCTGACGCCGCCCCCCAGCCCTGCAGTCATGGCAGGTGGCCCCTCCCCTCTGAACGGTGCACACCTTGGTGGACTCAGGGCGTGGGCCCCGCTGCTGACACGTGACCCGACCTTGCACCTGGTGGGGGTGCTGAGCATGGGAGGCTCGGAGTGGCGTCCATCCTGGCGGATGGCCTGCCTCACACCCGCTCAGCAGGTGGCCTGGGACCCCCGACTGCTCAGCTCCAAGCACTAGAGAGCTGAGACCACAGGGGTCAGAGGTCAGCATGAGGACCACCAGCCCGAGGAGGTGGGTGCACAGAGCAGGCTGCCTGGGCAGGGACCCCAGGAGGGGCAGCCACGGGGCAGGGGAGTTGGGTGCCGAGGCTCCCGTAAGGAGGCTGAGGGTGGGTGACTGGAGTCGGGGGGGTGGGGGGGGGACGGGCAGCACCTGTCCCTGGAGAAGGGAGACCTGGCCTCTGAGAGCGACCAGGGCGCCTGAGGGGGGAGTCCCAGTGAGATGCCTGGCGAGGGGGGGGGCTCTGAGAGGGGGTGGGGGCCAGAGAGGGGGTGGGGGCCAGAGAGGGGGTGGGAATTCTGCAAGAGGTGGGGGCTCCCTGTAGGGAGCCGCCCAGGTTCCCATGGGGACTGATTCCAGGAAGTGCCTGGCCCTTCTGCTCCGAGAACCTGAGGCTCCTGGGAACATCCCAGCTCTGAGGTCATCGGGCTCCTGAGGACAGTCAGTGGCCAGAGGCGAGGGGCGAGGACGGCGAGGAATGTGCTGTGGGCGGGGCCAGACCTGGGCGCTGTGGCTGCAGGTGTGTCAGCCCGAGGCCCGCGTGTGTCCTGAGTGGGGATGGGGTGGCTGAGTGACAGCGCGTTCCTGCGTGTGCAGCTGCGTGGGCATCGGTGAGGGGAGCGCGGCTGCCGGTGTGTGAGGCCTCATGACCCCGTCCTGTCGTCCTGTCGTCCTGTCGGGGCCTGGGCTGCGGGGCCTGACCCCTCAGGACGCCTGGAAACGCTGGCCCACGCGTCCTCGCCGGGCGAGCAGATGCAGGACGGTGCTTCCTGCCCCTCCCCCGGACCCCCTGACCCGCCCCAGCTCCCTGGTGCTGCCCAGCATGGGGACCCGCATGGGGACCGGCCAGCAGCTCACCTGGGGCCGGGCCCAGGGCCAGCGACTTGCTGAAGCTCTGCCCCCAGGGACACGGACAGGGAGGCTGGGGACACCGGGGCTGCCTTCTTCCGGGACCAGGTGGGAGGCCTGGCCTCCTGATTTGGGCAGAAACTGCCCCCAGGCCAGTGCCCGGAGGGGTGGCTGGGCTGTGCACCAGGTCCAGCCTCCACCCCAGCCCTGGCGCTGGGCCCCTAAGGTGGCTCTGCAGGCAGGCCAGGCAGACTGCGCGGCCGGTCCCCCCTGCACCCGGCCGGTCCCCCCTGCGCCCGGCCGGTCCCTCCTGAGCCCGGCAGGTGCCCCCTGCGCCCGGCACGCCCCCCTGCGCCCGGCAGGTCCCTGGGGGCCAGCCCGGCGCCCCTCCCCTGTCTTGCTGTGGCGGCTCTTTCTGGGGCCCACGCCCAGGCCCCTGGCTGGGCCCTCTGCCTTCACACCTCCTCCTCAGGCCCCACAGGGTCATGCCCTGAGCCCCGCCTCCCAGCCCTGCTGTAGGTTGGTGCTCCTGCTGACCTCTGACCTCTGTTGGCTCTCAGGGAGTCTCCTAGTTCTGAGTGGATGAAGGAACGAATGAGCTGCAGCTGTGACTCCGGGGCGCACCCCCAACCATCTCACCTCCTGGGGCGTCGGGGGGGACACAGCCCCTCAGACTCCCATTATGTGGACATGGTGCCCCCGGCCTGCTTTGGCCTGAGCTGTGACCCAGAAATCGCCCTCACTGTGGCCTACGCGAGGGCCAGAGAGGGGCTCGGGATGGAGGGAGGCTGGGGAGGGGCTGTGCAGGCCCCACCTCCCCTCTGGTGCCCAACCCCCGCTGTCTGGCCTGGGGGCCCAGGGTCATGGGCTGGCACGGCACGTCCAGCAATCCCACCCCTGCTATCTGGGGGCCAGGGGTGCCCAGCAGCAGAGGCCGGTGTGGCTAATGTCCAAGGGGCCAGGGCACCCCCACCCCCACCCCCGCCTCACAGGTCAGGGGAAAGGCGTCCTAGTGCTGGGGCTGGGGCTGGAGACAAATTCCGAGTTGGCAGACCCGCGACGTGGGCTGGGGAGGGTGCGGAGGGGCTGAGGTGGCCCTGGGTTGTGGGCGGGAAGAGATGGAGGTGGGGGCACTCAGGGATGAGCCGGCTGGGAGGGCCTCCCTCTGCCTGGCCTGGCCTCCAGGGCCTGACTGGCCAGACCTGCTGTCCTTGTTGAACAAGGTGGTTTCGTTTTGCCCCGTTACCAGCCTGGCCTGGTGCCAACATGGGAGCAGAGGGCGAGCTCTGTCCTGATCTGTGCCCCCACCCCACCCCAGGCGGGCAGGCAGGCTCCTCCTCCTCCCTATGCTCCCCGAGCTGCTGGGAACCCTGTCCTGGTCTCCCCAACCGTCTCTCAGCCCAGCCCCTGTGAAGTGGAGAAGCCTCGGGGCTGCTGTGGGGCAAAGGGGGGTGACCCCACCTCCACGCGGCACTCCAGGACCTGGCTATGCCCACCTTCCCTTCCCCACAAGGACTTCTGCTGGGCCCCACCCGCCACTGGTTCAGTCTGGCCAGGCTCCCTCCCTCCCGGCAGCGGGCAGAGCGCAGCTCAGGGACCAGGGATGGGAGGGGGGTGGGGGGGACCCTCCCTGCCAGGGCCTGGCCCTGAGAGGCTGTTGGCCACGGGCAGGGCAGGCAGTTCCTGGGCACCATCCCCAGAATGAAGGACAGAGCCTGGAGAGCCCCCCTGCGGCCCCTGGTTGTGCACACCCCTCGCCCTCCCGAACCGGCCGACATCCCCCGCACCCCCCCCCCCCAGAGCCATAAACCTCAGGCGGGGTGTCCCAGGCACAGGTGAGCAGGTGTCTGCCATCCGGGTGACAGTGGACATGGGCCGGGCAGGACTGTCGGGCCAGCTCTGGGGTGAAGCCCTGGCCCTCTGTGGGTAGCCACCTGCTGCAAACTGACAGTGTCCCCTGCTCTGGCCCCTCCAGCTGGCACTGCCCACTGGTCACACCTCCGGGCCCCTGGTCGCCCCTGGTTCCACGTTGCCCACCAGCAGCTCCTGGCACAGAAAGGCCCTCTGAGCAGCAGCCCCGACGGGTGGGCACTGGGCGTCCTGCCGGCCTGAGGCAGCTGGGAGCAGGCCCCTCGCCCAGAACGCCCGATGGGGGGCTGTGCAGGAACTCGCCCGCCGGCCGGGGTGCAGGCTTTGGAGCAGGGGCCCTGGTCCTTGTGGAGGGCTCTCCCCCACCCCCCCTCTCGGCCCCTCCGTCCCTGCAAGGGGCAGCAGCTAGACGGGCCTCCGCCTGCTCAGGACAGAGGCCTGTGATGAGGACGGGGCGTTTATTGGTCCAGGTGCTAAGTGGTTCCCTGCTCTCGGCTGCCGGACGGGCATCGCCACGCAGAGGGCTTGGGGGGCTGACCATGAGGCCTCCTCCGGCCCCTGACGTGGGACGGACACTGAAGGGGGAACTGTGGCTGCGGCCGGCGCCACACTCCCTTCTCCGCAGGTCACAAGGCCAGACGCCCAGGCAGCGTCCAGGTGCAGGGGCCTTGGAGGACACATCCCTGGGGCCGGCCCTGAGCCCAGCGCTGGGGCCCGTGTGTCCTGGGGGGTGGAGCCCGAAGGCGTGGGCCCTGGTGTGGGGAGCAGACGTTCCCACAAAATGAGTTTCTGCTTAAAAAGAGACCAAAGTCGGCAGGAAACCAGGAAACACCTGCGGCTCCTGGCACCCAGGGGTCGTGGGCTGGGGGTCGGCCCAGGACAGCCTGCAGGTGCCGCGGCCTCAGGGCCGGTCCAAGGCCCTGTCCCCGAAGGTGCCTTCGAAGGTGCTGACCACTGGGCTCCGAGGGCAGAGCGTCCGGCCGGCACAGCAGCAGGGAGCAGCCTGGCGATCTCTCCGTCTCTCCTGAGGCCCAGGCCCTCCCAGCCGGCTCCCGACCAGTCTCGGGCGCCTGCTGTGGTCCGTGAGGCTGAGCGGCCACGGGCAGGACGCAGCAGCGCAGGAAGCTGGCTGGAGGCCAATCGCGCCTGCCGCTGGGGCTGAGAGCCGAGTCCAGGCGAGTCCAGGCCTGTCGAGGCCTCAGGGGCACAGCCTGCCCGGGGCGGCCCCTCCAGGCGGGCAGTCGGTCGGGCGGTCGGGCGGTCGGTCGGGCGGGTGCAGTGAAGGCGAGCCTGTCAGACGTTGCTGACCCGGGCTTCCACCAAGGAGGCGGCAGTGGGGCCCGCGTCCCTGTCCGAGGGCCGCTCCCGCCTGACGTAGCGCGGCTTCCGCACTGAAACGTGGAGACAGGTGGGGTCAGGTGGGGCCTGGGGCGGGCAGGGTATGAGCAGACCCACTGGCACCCCTGGAGCCGGCAGAGGCAGGACACGCCCGACCCAGCAGTGACAGCCCCAGGCCTCAGGGGCAGAGCAGGGACCTGGTGAAGGGCCAGCCCAGGGAGGCGGGGTGACCCCAGACCCCATGCGGGGTTCCTCCTCCCCCCCCCCCCCCAGAGTCCGTGTCTCAGAAATGAAGGGGAAAGGGCACGGGAGCCCTGGCTGATTAGGGGGACCTGGGCGTCCCGAGCGGCCAGGGGTGGAGGCCACTGAGCCAGTCCCTGGCCTCCCTGCTGTGGCCCTGGAGGCAGTGAGAGCCGACGTACCTGAGGACTGCGGCGGGGGGATCATCGCGGCCTTGAAAGGAGAGGACAGTGAGACTGGGGGTGCCGCACGGGACAGACACGGGGACAGACACGGGCACAGACGTGACTTACGGCTTCGCTGGGCTGCAGGGCGGGGGCTGTGGGAAGAGCACAGGTGTCACCTGGGGGTCCCTCAGCCTGGGGGGCTGCGGACCCTGGAGAGGTTCCCCCACACCTGCCAGCAGTGCCCTCACCTGGGCTCAGGCCACATTTCCCACCTGCACTCAGGGGGGTGGCCCCAGGCGAGCCCCACCTTCCCACCTTCAGCAGCCAACGCGCCATCCCGGGGGCGAGGACCCACCTCTGTTCCTCCCGTAGCAGAGCCGGGGCAGTTTACTGCTGCGCTTGAGGTAGAAGAACCCGGCCACGGCGAGGATGAGGCCCGAGCTCACGAGGAAGGTCCCCAGGAAGAGGGAGGCTGCCACTCGAGGGCCCCCTGCAGGCAAGGACCCCTCAGCCCTTCCTTCCACGCCTGGGCCAGAGGGGGCACCACAGGCAGGGGGAGGGGCACGGGCTGGGGGAGGGGCACAGGCAGGGGGAGGGGCACGGGCAGGGCCATGACCCCCCCAGTGGCAGTGACTCTGACCCTGAGGCAGGAACGAGGAGGCAGGGCCACAGAGGAGCTGGGAGGAGGGTGGGATCCCAGCTAAGGCGGCACCTGCCGCCCCTTGGACAACCTTCGCGCCTGCTGCCGGCCCAGCCTGGGGACAGGCGGGCACCTAAGTGGGCTGCCCGGGGCTGCCAGCCTCGAGGCCAGGGCAGCACACGCCACTTCTGGTCCTGAGATGCTCAGGGCAGCCTCGCCCTCCGTCCAGGGGCTACGCCCTCCTGTCCCGGCCCTGCCTGACTGCAGTGGCCCAGCAGGCATCAGGGAAGGGGGTCCTGTGCCCGCCCCGGGGCCCCGGAGCTGAGGCGCCCTTGTCTGGGTGCCGTGTCTGCACCCTCCGAGCCCCCCGTCCTAGCAGAGCCAGGGGACAGCGCGGGACCTGGGTGGCCTCCGGCCGCTGAGAACACACATCCCGGTCACATGGACAAGGGGCCTGGCGGGCTGGGAGGGAGGCAGAGGGTGGACGCGTGGCTCGAAGGGCTCCCCCTGCCGGGACCACTCTCCATGCACACAGCCCAGGGCTGGGGTGGTCTGGCCCTGACGTGGACGTGGACATGGCCAGCACCATGGTCGGATCGGCACTGGGACTGGGTCTGACGATGCCCCTCCCCCCACCCTGCGGGGGGGCCCTGCTCGGGCCTGGGCACCAGCGCACTCACCGGGACTCGGCCGCCCAGGCGTCCCTGTGCTCCTGTTTTCGGGGGACTGTGTGCCCTGGCCAGCCACTGTGGGGGCACACCTGTCAGTGCGGGCCCCGCGGGGGGACCGAGAAGGACCCCCTGGAGCCAGACACAGTCCACAGGGGTCGCGGGTGTGACCAGGGAGGCAGACAGCTCTCAGCCACAGCTGTCGGACGGGAGGGACGAGGAGAGGGGCCGGGCGAGGGGGCCCCACTGCCCTGGGACAGGCAAGGCCTGGAGCTGAGGCCTCGGGGAGAGTGGGCAGGGGGCGTCGGGGGAGGGGACGGGGACCGGCGACCTACGGCCTCTGCACTCGGAGCTGCTGTGGGTCCCGTTCCTGCACCGCACGCAGCTGGCACTCCCGTCCGCGTTCCAGCGCCTGAAGCAGCCTGTGCGACAGAGGCAGTGAGGACGGCCTGGCCAGGCGAAACCGTGGCAGCTCGCGCCTGCTGGTGTCTGCCAGCTCATTACCCGTCTGGACGTCAAGGCGGCACCCGAGGCTGGAGCGCCATGTCCCAGAGCCGTGTCACCAAAGCAGGTGGTGCTGTGGCCTCATGCTGGACGGGCCTCCGCCAGCACAGCCCTGACCGCCAGGCCCAGGCCACCCCTCCAGGCCTGGACGGCTGCCCTCCTCTCGGCCAGTGTGGCCTCCGCTGCCCCTGCCCCTCCACTGGGTCCCACATACTCCAACCCCCCCACACCCGCCAGCCGCCACCAGCAGCCAGCTCTGCCCGGCCAGTGGCCGATGGACAGCCCGTCCTGCCAGCTGCACCCTTCAGGGCAGGGACTGGGTCCTTCACTGTGATTATTTCTTAACATCCTCAGCACTTAGCATGGAGGCTGAGCAAACACATGCCGACCGGCCCCGAGTGCAGTGTTGGCCACGGCCGAGCTGGAGACAGCCACAGGCTAGGCCCCTCTCAATGACCTTCCAGACGTTTCACCCACGGAGGGGTCAGCGAGGGAGGCCTTGCTGCTGTGGCTCCCAGGGAGGGCAGGGCCCCAACGGGCACATGGGCGCAGCCGTGACCAGCGCCAGCCCCCACGCGCCATGCTGGGCCGGCTTCTGTGACCATGGTGAGCTCCGTGCCTTCCCCTGGCGTTTTGGGGGGAGGGCCGTGGAGAGGCCGCGGTATTCGCTCCAGGGTCGGCTGCAGGAGGTCCGGGAGTGACCTGGTGCCACCACGACGCCCCCAAGCAGCCCGCTGTGCGGTGGGTGCAGGGCAGCCCCAAGGGAGCCAGGACTGCGACCACACGCTGAAGGAGTGAGGCCGACTCAGGCGCCAACAGGCCCTCTGAACACACCTGGCCCTGCCTCGCGGGGGGAGAGGGTGGCCGGTCCCAGCAGGGCCTGAGGACAGAGGGTTCACCCAGATCTACAGACACCGCGGCGCAGTCGATGGCGAGTCCTCAGCTTTCAAAGTCCAACCTGAGACTCTGTGAAAAGGTCCCACCACACAGCCTAGAAGACGCTGCCGTGGCATCGCAGCCTCGCTGAACGCACGTGAGCAGCCAGCCAGCGGCGAGCGAGCCGCGACCTCTGGCAGCAGGGGTGACGCAGACGCCATCTTCGGGAGAACTAACCAGTGTGGCTGCGGGTTCCGCCTGCTCACGGCGGAGGTGCAAGTGCCTGGAACTAGACGCCATCGCGATCTGCTCGTCCACCCGTACCTGCCTACAGCTTCCACGCGGCGTTTCCAGTTCTCTCCCACCCTGACGAGGGGTCACTAAGAACGAGAACTGCCCTGGCCGGAGCCCTGGGAACGGAGCCGGACGCCCTTAAGTCCTGGACGGTCACGCGTGGACAGCCTTCCCGCCTGCTGCCGGGCGAGCCGCTCAGAAAGGCCACAGCCCCCAGCGCCGTCAGACATTCAGGCAGCGGCCAGGAAACCCATCGACGCGGCTCTGTCCTCCCTCCGTCCAAGGGGCTTGGACCTCAGTCTCTGGACGTTCTCGGCTGCCTGCTCTCTGGACACGAACCTGGGCTTGCATTGCTCCATCGGCCTCCTTGTTCTGTCTCCACAGCAGTGCTTCCTACTCCCCCCGCCCCCCTGCAGAGGCCTCACTGGGGGAGCCACCGCCACACTGCCCCCCACACGGAGACCCCGGGCGCTGACCGAGGCGGCTCCTGTCTGCTCGAGCCTACAGCGACCGACTCGGCGTTAGTATGTGAGCCCCTGAAGGTACAATGTCAAATGAGGGACGGAGGAAGCCAGACTGTGTCGCCTCAAACATGCCTCTTTGACATAAAAATTATTTTCAGCTCAAGACACTTAAAGACACAGCAGGTGCCCTCCACTTCCTCTCGGGGCTCCGTGCCGAGCCCATGGCCTCCCTCCCTCAGCCGCTCTCTGGGCAGCCAGGCCTCCCTGGGCGCAGAGCCGGCCTCTCGCCTCCCACACCTCCCGCTGCTCAGCACCTGTCTCCCATGGGCCCTGCCCACCAGCCAGGAGGAGGCGGCCAGGCCAGGAGGGAGGCTGGCGTGGGGCCACCCCTCCGATCTCCCCGAGGTCTGAGCGCCCCCTGCCCTCCCGGCCATGGTGAGAGCCGCACGGGCTCAGGCCGGATGCTCACCTGGGCCACACAGGCTCGCGCCGGGGCAGGTGGTGTTGGCGTCCACCACGTCCACACAGCACCTGGACTGCTGGCCCTGGAAGGGAACGGCCAGTCAGTTGTCAGTTCCCAGACCCCGTAGCCAAGGGCGCGTTCGGGGCCTCGAGGGGGAAGGGCCAGAGCCCCGGGGGCCGCAGGCGCCAACCTTACTTCCTGGCACCCAGGCCACAGGGCAGGGCACCTACCGCGCTGTCCGAGGACTTGCTGGCAACTTCCGCCAGGAGGCCGGCCAGGAGGACGGCGCGCGGGAGCGCCATGTCCCAGCGCGCAGGGTCTGCAGCAGAGAGGGCGCGGGCTGCCGGGCGGGCGCGGGGGACCTGGCCTGGCCCCACAGAACGCGAGCTGCAGGCATCCAGCTCCTCGCAGCCTCGCGCTCTGCGGTCAGGGTGCTGAGCTGCCCGGAGTCTCACGGCCAGGTCTGGGGCCTGCAAATCAAGGTGCCGGGTGAGGCCCACGGCGGTCACGGCGCAGCCAAACCAGGCCGGGGCCTCGGCCTCCGGAGCTCCGGGTCCCAGGAGGCTGGGCTCGGACGGCCCCCCTGCCCCTGCCACAGCCTCCCGCAGGGAGGAGGGCTGGGCAGAAAGGGGTGCGGAGCCGTCCTTGCACATGAGTTCGGGCCGGGCTTGGCCGCCCATCACCTCGCTGGGTCCTGGTAAAACCCGAATCCGTCTTGAGCCTCTCCACCCGACCGGACCTGCTGGGTGGGAGGGTGCCTCTGGGGAGCGTGTCACAGGGACCTTGGTCTCAGCCACTTTCTTCACAGCAGAGGGAAGGACATCACAGGGTGACACAGGTCGGACCCAGGCCCGGGCCCCCCCAGAAAGCCTTCTAGGGGGTGGAACACAGAGCAAGACGGACAGGACCGAGCCACACACACCAAGCAAAGCTCCCAGCTCGACACCGACCTCAGTGTCCGCGGACTCAGGGCCGAGCGGTCGCATCCCTCCTGCAGCCAGGCCCACAGCCGGCCTGAGCCAGACAAGCTTTGGCCACTTCCCGCCGACTTCCGGGAGGGCCACCAGCCATCGGCCGGCACAGCAGGCGTCTTCTCGTGGGAAAGTCCCGCTAGGGACACCGTGCACTTGGCAGAGAAGCAGACGGTGCTCCGGGCGCCGAGTGCAAACACGTGCAAGTAGCCTGCTCTCACCCTCGTGTCCGCACAGGGAGACGGGGGCGTGTCTCGGGAAACGGGGGCGTGTCACAGGGAGACGGGGGCGTGTCTCGGGAAACGGGGGCGTGTCACGGGGAGACGGGGGCGTGTCACGGGGAGACGGGGGCGTGTCTCGGGAAACGGGGGCGTGTCGCGGGGAGACGGGGGCGTGTCGCGGGGAAACGGGGGCGTGTCGCGGGAAACGGGGGCGTGTCGCGAGGAAACGGGGGCGTGTCGCGGGGAACGGGGGCGTGTCACGGGGAGACGGGGGCGTGTCGCGGGGAGACGGGGGCGTGTCACGGGGAAACGGGGGCGTATCGCGGGGAACGGGGGCGTGTCACGGGGAGACGGGGGCGTGTCGCGGGGAAATGGGGGCGTGTCGCGGGAAAACGGGGGCGTGTCGCGGGAAACGGGGGGGGGGTCGCGGGGAAACGGGGGCGTGTGGCGGGGAAACGGGGGCGTGTGCAGAAAGCGGATAGAGAACGTGCACACCCTCAGTCACACGGGCCACGCGGAGAAGCGCCCCGCACCCCATCCCACCAGAGGCCGGGCGGCACCATCAGCTCGGCCCCAGGAGGAGTGAGCGGCGACGCAGGAACCTGAGCGGACGGAGGCAGCGCCATCGGCTCCGTTAAAAAGAGGTTTCTCACGGGAACCAAGGCGCGGCTGCAGAAACCGTCCCCGTCCCCGGCAGGTGGGCGCCCGGGACAGGGACTCGCCGCTGCGGCTCCCGCTCCGCCACAGCAGCCACACCGCCGGCTGCTCCGTCCGGCAGGAGGCCGTGCCCCTCTGACTCCCAGGCGGTCCCCGCCGCGCTCAGGCCTCTCCGGTGGGTGAGCCAGGGCAGGGTCTCCCCTCCCAGGCACTGATCCCGCCTGCACCCCCCCCCCCCAGGCTCCCTCACCACCTCCCGCAGGCCCCGCCTACCCCCCCCCCCCCAGGGCTCGCCTTAGGGACTTGGGGCGCAAACATTCAGCCCGCCCAGGAGCCCCCGGGACCGCAGGGTGTTTCCTGGCACCATGGCGCACAGTGCCACAGCCGGACGCATGGGTCAGAACTGGTCGGACCTGCCTGTGCCGGCCACTGTGGGGGAACCACACCTCAAAACCACTGAATAAATGCAAGTCATTTTCTATTTTGGACCCAAGAAGCCACATAGCTGGTAAAAGGACATCTACAAGGTCAAGAGAAACTCGGTGAGAATTTAAATGGAACTACTTGTTCTTCCCAATTCTTATTTCCTTAGGGAAACCGGTCTCAATTCAGAACCGCCGTCAGGTCACCGCCACGAGGAAGGGGAACCGACTGGGACGGTTTTGGTCAGTTGGTCAGGGGCTGGGTCCCGGCCCGACGACCCTGTGCACAGGCTCCCCGACAGGAAGGCTTTCCTGGGCGTCCGCCGGGGGCAGGGGGGCCCCACCTACACGCCGCGCCTTCCGGACGCTGCGGCTGGAGGGGGCGTGGGGACGCGCGGCCCAGCACCTGTTTCTCCCATGCTGGGCACCCACGAAGGCCCGCGGGACGTCACCGTCCGTGTGGGCTCGGCTGGTCGGCTAAGCTGCAAAGGGAGCCAGTGTGAAAAGCCACTCGCAAAGCAGCCCTAACACCTGCTTCTCCTCCTAAAACCCCGACTTGCAGAGAGAACACAGTGCTGGCTGGACGTGAGGGGGAAGGTGCGGCCCGGCCCGGGAGCTCAGCTGGTTAGCGTCATCCCATACACCACGGTTGCGGGTTCGATTCCAGGTCAGGGAACATACAAGAGGCCACCCATGAACGCCTAAGTGCAGCAAATGGATGTTTCTCTTTCCGTTCCTCTCTCTCTCTAAAGCCAATCAATAGTGTTTTGAATGTATTTGTTATTGATTTCAGAGAGGAAGAGAGAGATCGATCCCCAGTAGGGGTGGTGCAGGAGGCACCAGGTGCCCCGATTGAAAATCGAACCCGGACCCTCAGTCCGGCCGATGCTCTATCCGCTGGGCCAAACCGGCCAGGGCAGCACACGGTTTTTTCAAGTTTTGGCCTGTGACTGCGGAGCTCGCGCTGCGCAGCGCTCTGGTGTCCACCCCCAGGGACCTGCGTGCTGACCACCATCAAAGGCACCTGTGCGCGGAGACCACGTGTCCTCAGATGACCCTGAGCGAGGGGCTGTGGGCCGGCCACTGGGGACCACCTGCCGGGGCAGCCCTTCGCTCTGCTTTCGGGAGGGACTCGTGGGGGAGGGGGCGGAGGTGGGGTGCGCCCGCCAGCAAAGGGCTTCGGTGCAATCCCGGCTCTGGCTCCTCCCACGGCTTCTGAGCACAGCGAGGCCCGCGGGACCCGCTGGACCCGCGGCGACACCCCAAGGACAGGCCAAGGCTGCCGTCCCGGCGGCGGCGACCCTGAGAACCACGCGGAACAAAAGCGAATTCGATGGGACGAGGCGGCTACAGGTTCGGTCACAAACGGCTTCGGGCAGAAACTGCATTTGCCAGACGCTGTTGCCTGAAATGCTGCAAAAACCGTACCCGAACCACCTGGTCTCCATCACGTCGGAGCTAAAGCATCTACTCCGTCCTCAGGCGACGACGCTCGGCTGCGACGGCGAAACCTACGTTTCGGCCAAGCCCGGGCGGTCGGGCGATGAACGCGGAAACCCCGGGGAAGAGGCCGCAGGTCCCGACGATCCGGCGCAGCAGGCGCCGTGGGAGGCCCGGGGGGCTCGGGACGGGGCCCCAAGTCTGGTTACGGGGGCTCCCTCGGGCCCTTTGTCCGGTCCCCGGCCCCCGCCCGCCCCGAGACTGCCCCGACCCCGGGGCTGCGCCTCCAGGCCGCCCAGGCTTCCGCCCCGCACCTGCCCAACGGGCCCGCCGCCCGCCCACCCCCAGCCTTTCACTCACCCCGGCGCCCCTTGGGTTCCTCTTTCGTACCCCCCGCCCTCCAGGTGGTCGCGCCGAGCACCTTGGGACTTGTAGTCTCACCGCTGCCACAGCCCGGGTGCCAGGGCGCGAGACTACCAGCCCCGAACTACACTTCCCAGCGGTCTTCGCAAGAGCCCACTCTCGCCAGGTGGGTTCCGCTACAGGATTCTCGCGAGGCCGTGTGAGGCGCGCGCGGAGCGACCTGGGAAGTGTAGTCTAGGGCGCCTTGGTCCTAGCCTCCGGGCCCTGTACTGGGCTAGGGAGGGAGGAGGTGGAGGGGAGAACTACACTGCCCAGGATTCCTCGCGCGCGGACGGTCTTTGACGTTGCTAGGAGACCGGAAAGCCCGGCGGCGGCAGGACAGCAGCGGGCCGCGAAGTGCTGACAGCAGATCTGACCCGGTTTCGGGCGCGGATAGAAGGCTCCCGCCTGCGGCCAAAGCGACGCTGGCGCCGGCCGCCCCTCGTCTCCACTAGAGAAAGTAACAGCACAGGGCCATGTGGCCGATGTGCGGAGGCCGTTGTCTGAGTGGATGGGAGAGCGCGCGGACTAACCCATTTCGCTGCTGAGCGCCTTGGTGACGCTCACTGTCTCCGAGTGGCGCCTGCAAAAACCGAGGCTTCCGAGCCCAGACCCTTCGGACGCTTGGCTGCGAGCCCCGCGCGGGTCCCGGCCAAGCTGGGCAGGGACGTTCACTCCGCGTGGGGCTCCTGATGTGAAGCCCAAGACGGAATTGGGGGTGATGTGGAGCCTCTGTGGGGTCAAATGAAACAGGATATCGCGGTGCCTGGTCAAACCTCCCTTGGGCATGCAGAGCGCCCCGGGGGAAGGGGGGTGCCAAGGAGCTTCTGGGAGAAAAGACAGTGAGATTGACCACTGCCCTTCTCGTGTCCAGCCTGGTTATACCTTCCCTGGGGGGGGGGGTGGCCCCCAGAGCAAGCAGGCAGGCAGGGGCACTGGGTGTGCCCGGGGGGTGTCATCCTAAGAGATGCGCTGCTCTCTGGGTCCCGGGCGGAGCCAGTTTTCCTCAAGGGCCACTTGGAGAGCAGTGTCTGGGCCGGCGACTGAACAGAGACCTGTGGCTTGGCCTGCACCAGGGAGGGGCCACCACCGTGCATGACTGTTACACAGGCTCTGCAGGTCTCGCCGCACATCCACGTCCACGGGACTATGAGCAGACAGGTGACTGGGTTCCTCTGAGCTAGTGAAGCTGGTTGGACTGGCTCCTCTTCCCGCCCAAGCTCCACCCCATGGACTCCCGGGAGGGAGGGGGCTGGGAGTGCGCCCCAATCAGTCCCAAGACCATGGGTCAGGGTGACAGGACTGGCCCCCTGGGCTGGCTTTGTCCCAACAGGGCACCAAAGTGGGTGAATTTCCACATGTGTGGTCTCAGGCTCGGCCTCTGAGCCACCGTGGACAAAAGCGACAGCCTCTCGGTGAGTCACATGTGTGCTCATGAAAGGGCTGCCCCTCAGGCCTGTGGCAGGCCTCGTGTTGTCTCCAGATCCGGCTTAGAATGACACCACGTTTCCACCAGCATCCCTGAGGTCCTGCAGGTGTGCTAGACCATGGGGGCCACAGGACAGCTGGCACCTGCCCACACCCCCTGCCCCAGGCTCCTTGGCTCTGGGATGCCCATCGGCCGAGTCCTGGGGGTTCTCCTCCCCTCTCGATGCCGTCTCAGGACATCGTCCCCAGCTGGAATGTCCAGTTTTCAGCAGCCACAGAGCACCCGTCTTTCAGCACGAGGTGTTCCCCAAGCACAGGGATGGAGTCCGGAGGGAGAGTGGGTGTGGCTGCTCAGGGGGCGTTCAGCGTCTGCTGGGTTTCTCTCCTTGGCAGCGGGAGGTTCGGTTCCAGGATGCCCCTCAGGCCTCTGGCCTCAGAATGACACCACGCTTCCGTCCACCAGAAACGGGCGTGCGCGACCAGGATGAGCTGGTCTCTGACGGCAGCAGGTTTTCAGAATGATGTGACCGACGGCAGTGATACACACGCCTGAGAACTAAGTCACGGCTGGGAAGGTGAAGCTCACGTGAGCAGGAGGAACCTGGGCCCCGACCTGGGACACCTGAGCACTCGGATCCCGTCTGCGTCCCGGCTCTCGCTCTGCTGTCTGCTAAGGCGCCTCCTGTGCCTGCCAGGCGTCGCAGAACGACTTTCCGGGTCCAGGAGCCGAGCCGTGTCCACCTGCTGGGCTGCTTCTGAAGACCCGGGGACGCAGTGGTCCCGGCCTCCTGTGATTTGTTTCTGAGGCTGTGCTTCCCCCCGGAACCTCCCCAGCGTCATCTGTCCATTCACCACAAAGCGGTCACTCAGGGCTTCTCAGCAAGGTCGAGCCCAGGCTCCCTGAAACGCCACCAGAGAAGCCTGGGGGCGGGAGGCTGCTGAGTGCAGGTGGACTGAGTCTGCGGAGGCCGGGCCGGCCCGGTTGTGGTGGTCAGGGAGGAGCAGGCTTGGTTAGGCCTGGACGCGGTCCCGGCGGTAGTTCAGGGTTGGTGGACACAGGAAGGCAAAGGTTCCGAGGCGTCTTTGTGGGATCTGTTGAAAGCCTGGTGTTTAAGTTTGGTTTTTTGTGTTTTATTTTTTTCCATAAAGCTCCTGAAATGAACAATAAAGTTCTTTTATCTTTCTGTGCAGGAGTTTCTTTCTTTTTTGTTTTTTTTGTTAATCGTCACCCAAGGATATCTTTCCCATTGATTTTAGAGAGAGTGGAAGGGAGGGAGGGGAGAGAGAGAGGGAGAAACATTGATGTGAGAGAGGCACATAGATTGGTTGCCTCCTCCCCCTCCCAACAGGGCTGGGGATCAAACTTGCAACCCAGTAGGTGCCTTTGGGAATCCAACCCGGGACCTGGGACTCCTCAGGGCAAGGACAGGTGCTCTAACCACTGATCCACCAGCCAGCGCTGCGCAGGGGGTTCTTGAAGCCCCGCCCATACCTCTGTCCGAGGCCACGGGATCCTCACCTTCCTGCGCTGAGCAGGGTCCCTCCCCTCCTACAGGGCTGAGAGGGCTTTTGTTTGTTTTTGCTTTTAATCAGGAACAGATGTTGACTCTCAAATACTTTTTACAAACATCCATCGAGGGCCCTGGCTGGTGTGGCTCAGTGGAAAGAGCCTCAGCCTGAGGACTAAAGCCCCGGGTCGGGTTCGGGTCCAGGGCACAGGCCTGGGCTGCGGGCTCGATCCCCAGGAGGGGGCGTGCAGGAGGCAGCCGATCCGTGATTCTCTCTCATCAATGATGTTTCTATCTCTCATTCCCTCTCCCTTCCTCTCTGAAATCAATAAAAAGATTTTTAAGTCTAGTGCGGTGATCCTCTGGTTTCTCTTTCTTAGTTCGTGCTTGTGTTGAATTACACTGATTTTCTGCTGTTAGCCAACCTCCCGTTCCCGGGGACCCCACCTGGCCGTGATACGGAATCCTGCTCCCGTGGTGCTGCAGTTTGCCAACACGGTCCAAGCTGAGGATGAACTAGCTCAGAACTTCCTGTCTGTGAGGGGCTCGCCGCAGGGCGGGCTGCGGTCCCCACGGAGCCGGGCTTTTCCGCGGGAAGAGTCTTAACTGCATGCTCAGTTTCTTCTCTTTTAGGAAAAAAACCCCTGTTTTATTGTTTTATTTATTTATCTTTAAATACATTTTATTGGTCTCAGCGAGGGTCTTTGGTTTCTGTGCTCGGCCCGTTCCTGTATCATGGCTGTTGGAGCAAAGGGGTTGCAGCCCCTGGGCGACCCGCAGCTTCAGAAAGCGGGGAAGCCACAGCGGCTCAGGGCAGAGCCGGGACCAGCTGCACCCACGGGGCCAGGATGGGCCCCAGGAGCCTGAGCCTCGGAAAACAGCCCCCCCAACCGCCCCCTGGGGCTCCGTTGCATCACCCGAGGAAGGCGGTGGGGGGGGGGGGCGGGCGGGGGGCGTGCCTGGGCCAGGGCTCCAGGCTCCCTGCGCCTCCATGGCCTGTGCTCTTCCCGGCCGCTCGTCTGCCCCTAGTTACTAGGAAGGTGCTCGCTGTCCACGCGGCTCCCGCCCGTGGGACGTGGCGTGAGCAGGCTCAGGACCCTGGCTCCCCTGTGGGCGCAGAGAGCTGGGCTCTGTAACCCAACCCGGAGCCCCCCACCCCCACCCGCCACCTGCAGGGACTCGGCCCAGGGAGGAGCAGGTGAAGGTCGCTAGTGCTTCCCACTGGCAGATGCTGGGGGAGGCTCAATTATCAGCGAGTTCATTGCCGGATTCACGGCCCTAATTGCTGTGTTTACCCCACTCCCCTCCCGTTCTCCCCACCAGGCCGGTTTCCAGGGCAGCACGGCCAGCTCAGGCCTCAGGAGGGCACGCAGGTAGGCTGGAGACGCCGCTGGCTGCCCCCGGCTGGTACCCCGTCCTTGCCTCTAGAGTGGGGGGGATGGGATTGGGGTACTCACCCGGGGCGCCAGCAGGACCCCGGTGCACAGCAGTATGCCCGGGTCTGCGGGGTGGGGCTGGGGGCACCCGAGCCCCGAGAAGCCGGGGGTCACCTGGAGAACTGGGAGGAGAGGCCTCTAGGCAGCCGCAGGGCTGGTGGGACAGGGCCTGGGGGTGCCTGCCAGGCCAGGCTCCTGGGCCCCAAGTGCACATGGGCCCGGCCAGAACCTCCCAGAACCCACCTCTCCGGGAAGCCAGTCTCCTGCCTGTGGTCCCCGGACAGCACTGCCTCGTGCTGGGCGGAGTGGCCAGGTCACGGCTGTGTCTGGGGCTCGGCCAGTGTCTGGCTGGGGCCCGGTGACCTCGACCCTCAGTCTGCAGGGCTGGTGTCAGGGACAGAGCGCGGACATGGGACCCCACCATCCCCACAGTCCTGGGAGGATTGGGGCCCCATGCTCCCCAAGTTCCCCAGGGGGCTGGGTCCCCACGCTCCCCACCCTTCCCACAGAGCTGGGGGTATTGGGACCCCCTCCCCCACAGTTCTGGGGGGGGATGGATCAGCCCCTTGTAATTCTCCAGCCGGCCTGCAGGTGGCGCCCCCGCCCAGCGGGCAGCTGACCTGGACCTTGGGTGCTGCCCCCACCCCCCTCCGCCATTCCGACCTGGGGAGGAAGGTGGGCCTGGACCCTTCCTCGGGGAGGCGCTGAAATGGGGGCCCCTCCCCGTAGAGGAGTGTGGGGTGCTCCTGGGGTTGGCGCAGAGGCAGCCCCTTCCCTGGGAGGAAAAGGGACCCCGCCTTTGACCTGTGCCTCCGCCTTCCGGGCACCTAAAAGCCCAAATCACAGCGCCCTGGGGTCCCCCACACCCTCACCAGCACCTCAGAGGGGACGTCAACCAGGTCATCGCACCTCCCGGCCAGGGAGCAGCTGGGCCTGCTGTTCTGTGTCAGCATCCTCCTGTCTCGGGGACCCTCTGACTCCACGGCGCCCCCAGCCCCAGGACAGTCCCGTCTCTGGTGGACTTCTGGGTCCACGAGGGTGACCAGCTCCTCTGACCCTGGGGACCCCCGCCCCCATGGCCACGGACTCACCACATCCCCTCTGCTCCACTAGGAGGCGCCAGACGCACCAAGTCATTCACTCAAAACCGCAGTCAGGGTTCCCCAAAGACGCAGGACAGATGGGGCGCGGAGATTTATTGTCAGGGCTGCTCCCTGGTAGGGGCCTGGTGGGGTCGGCCAGCAAGCGGGCGACCAGCAGGGCCAGTGGGGTCCCTCCTGTCTGAGTCCAAGGACCATGATGAGCGCCCCAGTTTGAGGGCCACCCCACAGGAGGGACCCGCCAGCTTCAGTGTTAATCTCATCCAAAAACACCCTCCCACAAACGCTGGAATAACGTCTGCCCACGTATCGGGCGCCTGGGCCCAGCCAACGGGCACAAAATCAGCCCAGACTCCTGCTGCGGGGACGCGGGCCGAGGGGGGCCAGGGGGGTCCGGGGGGGCTGGGGGAGTGAGTTCATGACACAGACGTGAGCGGACAGAGTGAGCACAAACAGGGAGCTCTTCCCATGAAAACCCCAATTCCTGTAGCACAGCGGTTCTCAGCCTTCCTCACGCCGCGACCCTTGAATACAGCTCCTCATGCTGTGACCCCCAACCATAACATTGTTTTCGTGGCTACTTCATCACTGTCACGTTGCTGCTGTGATGAGTCGTCATGTCAATATCTGATGTGCAGGATGGTCTTAGGCGACCCCTGTGACGGGTCGTTCGACCGCCAAAGGGGCCGCGACCCACAGGCTGAGAACCGCTGCCACGTGCCGAATGGGGAGAGGCCGCCCTGTGGGAGGCGCTGTGGGCCGTCGGCCTCGGCTCCAGGGCCCTGCCAACCGTTAAGTAAAAACAGAATGTGCAGCCCTGGCCAGTTTGGCTGTGGATGGGGCGTCGGCCTGTGGACTGAAGGGTCCCGCGTTCAATTCCGGTCAAGGGCACGCGCCCGGGTGGCAGGCCCGCTCCCACCTGGCCGAGGTGTGTGGGGAGGCAAGCGATCGCTGTGTCTCTCCCCCTCCCACTCCCTGGAAAATCGATAGGAAATACCCTCCGGTGAGGACGAAATGTGGGCCTTTTCCTCTTTATTCTCTTAACCAACCCCGCGCCTCCGTCTCCGTCAGCACAAACGGACAAACCCATAAACCAGCCAAGCGGCTCCCAAAACCCAAACCAAACAAACGGAGGGCCTTGGCCCCGCGGCCGCCGTAACCCAGGCACCAGGAGGGCCCTCCTCCGGACCCCGTGCGCCCCTCCCCTCTGAAGGCACGCACGTGACAAAAGGGATGGGATGGCGCTTTCTTTTTAAAAATGTTGTTTTTATTGATTTGAGAGAGAAACACGGAGGCGAGAGAGGCCCACACACACCCGCTGGGGATCGAGCCCGCAGCCTGGGCCTGGGCCCTGACCAGGGATTGAGCCCGAGCCTTCAGTGCCCGGGCGTGCCCCCCGACCTGGGCACGGGGGCCGGGGTGGGAAGGCGCTGCCGGGGTTGGCTCTACGAGGGTCACGGCTGATTTGAGGTTGAACGTGTAGGTTGTGACACTGGATGTTTCATCCACCTCCCTGCTCTGGAGTTCAGCTTCGCTGACAGTAAAGACAGACCTTCAGGGGCAGCGTGTGCTCCGGGACGTCACCACCTTCTGACTCCGCGGGAACAGCTGTGGCAGCTGCCGGGCCTCCCGTCCGAGGGCCCCGGAGAGGCGAGGCCTGGCTGTGTCTCCATCGCTGAGCCGGGGCGGACGAGTTAACCTGTTCAATACGCGTGTGCATATGGGGCAAAGCTAGATTTTTTTTCTTGGTTTCTTGACATTTACAGGTGTCTTAGGTGGCGAGTTTTTTCTACTTAGACATTAAAATAGTAAACGGTAAATTTCATATTAAAAAAATAAACAAAAGGGTGACAGCGTGTCTCGCCCTGGGGGACGCAGCTCGGCCACAGGAGCTGGGACCCGCCCGCTGCCCTGAGGCTCGACCCCGGGGTCATTTCTCACGCAGCAGCAGCGGCGGATACCGCGTGGGGAGGGCTGGGCGTCCCTGTGCTGGCCTCCGCCCATGCCAGCGTGCCCGAGGGTCAGCCCGGCACGCAGCGGGACCCCAGGTCCAGCGCCCCCCACGCCCCACGGCTGCCCGGGCCCCTGCAGAGCTGCCAAGGGATCCTCCGACTTTAGGCCCATTTAATACTGAATCCTGGGCA